TGGTTGAGCTGCACTAGAGAAGGCAATGAGTGTTATCACTATGTCGGAGACACGCTAGCTTTCCCAAGGCAGACAAACTTAGAGTGGTTACAATCATCCAGGTTTAAATCGCGCTCAAGTTGATTTGATTTTGACGCAATATTTAAACTGAAGCTTGCAGGTGGCTATGGTAAGGGGCATGACATTTCCCGACCAGGCGCCAATCACAACACACACTGGCCCAGCTAACCAATCACAGCACATTTCGTATTTCAGAAGGTGGGCCTTCATTTGATACAGGAACTATTCGATCCGTTCATGCCAGACTGGGGAGAGAGGTGTTGTAATAATGGTGTTAATAGAGGTGTTGTTTTGAACAACCTAGTATGAGAGCCTGTTCTAGTGCACCCCCAAAACAAAATCAAGACTTTGTAAAAGAGCACAATAGGACTCCTTTAATATAAAGCATGTGCACGTTCAGCCTTGGGGTTGTGAGAGTTTTTTTTTTTTATAGATGGTTGGAAACTGTCTCTGTGTTATTTGATTTGGGAATTTTGGATCAAAATAATGTTAGAAAGCTTCTGGGAAGACAGATCTCTGTGAAAGAATATTAATTAGATTTTTCAGTTTGTGATTATAGGCCGGGTGCAAATCACACTCTTAATTGTGAACCTGGACCACAAAACCAGTCATAAGGGTCAATTTTTTTAAATTGAGATTTACACATCATATAAAGCCGAATAAATAAGCTTTCCATTGATGCATGGTTTGTTAGGACAATATTTGGCCGAGATACAACTATTTGAAAATCTGGAATCCGAGGGTGCAAAAAATCAAGCCTTTAATCGCCTTTAAATTTGTCCAAATTAAGTTCTTAGCAATGCATATTACTAATCAAAAATTAGGTTTTGATATATTTATGGTAGGAAATTTACAAAATATCTTCATGGAACATGATCTTTACTTAATATCCTAATGATTTTTGGCATAAAAGAAAAATCGATAATTTTGACCCATACAATGTTTTTTTGACTATTGCTAAAAATATACCCAAGCGACTTAAGACTGGTTTTGTTGTCCAGGGTCACAATTTATGTTGTACATTATTTTCAGTTGAACAATTGTTTGTTCATTGTAAGTATGAGTTAAGTGTGTCATTATAACTGCCAGTTGCAAAGACCGATACATTATCTCTCGATTGTCTCCTCAACCCCAAAAATTGTGTGAAAATTACATGGAAGTTACATGTTATCTAGCTGAGAGACTGAAAGTTGTTGAATTTTGCTGAATATAGTAAAACGAATAAGTATAGCTTTGAATAAAAAATAGTTTAAGAAATGTTATATACTGTAAGGTGCTCTGCAGTTACTGCTTAGCTTACAGTCATGCTCTTTTGGTTGGAAACAGCATATGTTTACTATTAATATCATATCATAGCGTATTATTATTATTAATAAGTAGCACTTTTTATTTCTCCTCTTTCCTACTACTTGTTTCACTTCTGTTTCAGTTTTTATAACCATTTCTTACTATGTGCAAGCAAGTTGTTGTTTTTTAGCAAGTTTGGCAGTGTTATTTTTTAGGATTACTGATAAACTACTGGTTTTGAAATTTAGTTGTATGCATTTGTAATTTTTATTTAATTTCTTTAGTTTTTAAATGTGTATGAGTAGTATTTATAAAGTTTTAGCTTTTAGTTTTTGATCTGTTTTTAGTTGTTTTAATACTACAATTGATTGCTTCTGTTGTCCTCATTTGTAAGTCGCTTTGGATAAAAGCATCTAATAAATGACTAAATAAATACATAGATTACAACAACACATATAGTATCTGCACATATAGTGTCTCCATAAAGAGAGACACTTGGTGCAATCGTACATCATCTGGGTTGATGTATAGGCACTGTGTTATAGCCAGGGGTGTGAAGTAACGAATTACAAATACTCACGTTACAGTAATTAAGTAGTCCGTAAAACCGTAAAACCTAAACCGTTGCTACCGGATTTTTTACGGTAAAATTCCGGCAACCACAGCTGCCGTTTTTTTACCGTTAATTTTACGGAATTTTTTTTACAGTGTGGGTAAACGCAGAACAGTGTCTATTCAATGTATCAAGGTTTATTTTACAGTGCAACACTTACCGTAATCCACATAACTCTTTCTTTGCAATTCAAATTTATTTTGTGCAACTAAAAGCAGTGGTGAGCATGGACAGGATGCATGTTACTGTAACTCTTTTGCCTTCACCTGTGGAAAAAAGTAAATTCATGAAAGAGTTTTTGTTGAGAATGTTTCTTGTTATGCTTCTCAAATGTTTCTTTTGAGAAAAATATCCAAGTAATCTCAAGCCTGGTTTATTAAATCCATCTCAAAGCATGTTTCGTTGACCACTTTTGGTTGGATTCTCAAAGAAGGTATTTCTTGATTTTTGTCTTTCTGAACTTGAATATATTGTGAAGCTAGTGCTGTGCATGTGTAACTGCACCAGTTATGTAAAAATAAACATTTTAAATAAATATAAATCAAAAACAAATTTCAATAAACCAACTCAGTAAAACAAGCTAAATTTTTTGTGTATTTTCTTTTAAATATGCACATAACCAGCATTTTTTGTTTGTTTGTTTGTTTTGGGTGTGTGTGTAAGATGATTGACAAGTGAGTAGCCAGTCATTCACACTTGTTGAAGTCATCTTGATCTGTGCACCTATCTGCATTATTTTATAGCTCTATACTTACTGTATAACATCAACTATTGACTTGCTTGAACTACTTCAGTCTGTGTGCATTGAATTTATTTAATACACGAGTTTCACAATTTGAGTTGAATTACTGAAATAAATGAACTTTTCCATGACATTCTAATTTATTGAGATGCACCTGTATATATATAGGAGAAACATATATATATACTTTTACGTTAAAGTAAAGATACTTTAACGAATCACATCTGAGCACTCCACTAAGTCCTATGAGCAACCTTTTCCAATGGGTCATATCATTAACCTCCCTGTGTTTCCCACGAATGACACCAATGTTGGCAAATGGCAGCCCTATAATTGACTTCAAATATAGTTTTGCCCTATTTAAGTGACGTCCGGAGTAATAGGTCACATAACCCCTATACGTTTAGACCTGACCTTCATGCGACATTAAGACCTGGCTTAATGATTGATATGGCGTCAAAGGACACAGCCTGTGTCCTCAAATCAAACTGAAATCTTAAAGCAGAATCAAGGGGCTTCGCAATCTCACACTCTGTGTGACTCACTAATTTGCTAGGCTTTCTTTCATTCTTTTGTGCTAGGTGTGACAAAAGCGAGTGTTGATTTTTTAATTTATTTTATTTTAAATCTCAGGAAATCGTTAAGCAAAAGACTGTGTCACCCCCGTTTCTCCCTGAGCTGATCTTGAAGAAGGATGTTTGACTTTTGTTTAGGACTTCATTAATATTTGATCAGGCTTAGCACTGTAAACCAACTTCCATCCACCATCAGCTTATATGGACGGAACGCCACTGCCGTGCACACTGTCAATATTGAAACAATGCCCGATCAAGGTCGTGCTCCTGATAGGATGCAGAGGTGACCTCAGCTGGACTGAAGGCATTAGCATCCTTTTAATAAAGGTTGGAAACAAATAGGATAGGATGGCATAAACATGTTGCATAGTTTCTAAAGCACATACAAGTATCCAACTTTGGTTGCCTGGCTGGAGTAAGATTTTGTCCTCTGAAAGATAACATGTTACTGTCATCTATTTGCCTTGTAGAGACTAAACTTAAATGACTCTTTATTAAGATCTTGTTGAAGTTACTTTTATAATATAGAATTTCAACTTGACCTCTTAGACAAACAAAAATTTTCTTTAAATTTCGAATGGATTATGTGAGAAAAGCAAAGAGCACTCCCCTTATAGCACAACTGACCGAGCTCACTCACGCAAAAAAGCCTGATATAATCAACGACTAACTACACAGTCAATCTCTTATTTACATCATGTGCATGTTGTTTTTTTATTTTTTTATTATTATTTTTTTTCTTGTTATAATGGGAGGATCTGCTAGCGTGTATTATTGAGCATGGATAGTTTCGATGAACTTGATGAACCTTTGATATCTTCTTCAGGGCGTAAAAGGAAAATAAAAACTGAAACTTTTCACGGAACCTTGCTAAAGCAGCTTGTTACAGTGGTGAGGGAAAAGCTCCCTGTATTGCATGTAATCACAACAAAGTTTGTCAGGTGTCTACTTTGTCAGTTGAGGAGATTACAAAGATTAACCAAGTGATATCTTCTTTTGACAAAAAGCGACTGTTGGAATTATTTGTTTTTGCCAAAAAAAATAAAATAAATAAATTTATGAACAAAAAAAAACATGATTTATGAAAATGAATAAAAAAACGAGTTATCTGTTTTTGCAAATGAACTCATCATATGTACTCAGAGGTTGTTATTTTATAGCATCATAGATGGTTTCAGATGTGTCTTCTAACATTCATTATGAAAAATAAGCATAAAACAATTGATAAGTAGCTTACCAAGAAAAAGACAGGTGTGCCTCGGGTCTGTCCTTCAGTTAGAGATGGGCAGTATGACAATATATATTGTGGTGACAATATAAAGTGTCTTATCGGTAGAGATTTTGATGTCATGTATATCGTGCAGAATGTAAAACAGTTTAAAGCTGAACATTTTGACATTTTAAAGCCTTAAAGAAACATACATTAATGAGAAAAACATACGTGACTGATGTTAAAACAGTTACAAAACACGAAAAAGCGGTACTCATGCTGACTGACGCACACAAAGCGTGCAAACAGAAAGCATGCAGTGCCGAATTCAGTTTCCTTTCGTGTTAATTGTGCTTGAACAGTCAAATACACACAAAATTATACCAAAATGTCAGTCTAGGCTAGTATTCAGGTAAATACAGGTTGTCTTAGGTGAACATAAATAGTTAAGGCAAAATCGGTCTATCTATCAATATATTGGACCCATGCAGGAGGTCTTAAAGGAACAGCAGCCTAATTTAGCTGCTGTCATCTGTGTCAAAAGTCCCTTTTGCACCAGATGAACCTTTTCATAGTTCCTAGAGCTATTGGCGGAAATACCCAGATGCTCACGCATTCGCACTGCAGGAACTAGGAACGATTTTAGTTCTAGGAACTCCTTTTACGGGAACTAAATTAACTCCTACTTCAGAGGGTCTAAACCCACACTATAGCAACTACCAGTGACGCAAGTCTACGTTGATTGGCCGAACACATGTGGGAAAACACGGCACCCGCCATTTTTAAAAAGCCGGATAAACACACAACAGTTTATTATTCACGGAGCAATTTACAGTAGGCTACAAGATGGAAAACAGTGACTCAATCTCCATTATCACAAAACCCAGTATATACATCAAAAACACAGCTCCGATCACGGTTTACATTGTTGAATGCTGCGCTTAAATGACGTTGCTGTCCGCCGGCTTACGTCACTTCTGAGTTCCAGTTGGCGGTGCGAATGCAACCAGGAAAAAAGGCCGGGGGAACCTAAAGATCCCGGGGAACTCCCGGACCGACTAGTTCCTATTACTTAGTTCCTAGAACTATGGTGCGAAAGTGGCTAAAAATGTTAATCAGACAAAAAAAAAAAAAAAAAAAAAAAACACAAAAACACAAAAATGTCCATAAGGTTGCACAAGGGTTAAATTAACATATGATGGTTCTCACCTGTAATTGGGTTAATAGTGAAGGCTTCATTTTCATTGCCACTAAAAATACTGTACTTGATCGTTCCTTCATCTGTTGTCAGGTCATGAGCTACAACATTTGCCACCCAAGAACCTTATAATAAGAAGTGGTATACACAAACACAGTCAGTCTAACTTCCACAAATTCTGACCTTCTCAGAAATACAAGCCTCTAATTTGACAACTAAGTAAATCAATTGTGAAATGTCAAAAGAAACCTCTCAAAGGTGAAACATATCTAAAATCTGTGAGCTAAAAAGTTGCTCAAAGTATACCCGTCTTGCTGTTCTCTGGCATCGTGACTTCATAGAGTTCTTCAGTAAACTGTAACAGTGGCTCTTCTCCGTTAAGCTGAATGAGCACAAGGCAGCTAGAGGTGAGGGAAGGTCTACCTAGATCCGCAGCCCGTATTCGGAGCAGCTTTGTCCCATACACCTCATTACTCAGGGGGGCTTTCAACCTCACAGCTCCAGACTCATCAACCTGAAACATCTCATCTTCGTCTGCTAAGCTAAAAACTATTGTCCCATTGTCTCCATGGTCTGGATCCTGGGCTGTAACCGTTATGATGGGTCGACTGGGACGTGTGGTTATGGAAGACACTGACACCCGCATGGGCTTGTTAATGCATGCCGGTGAATTGTCGTTAATATCTTCCACTTGTATTGTAACCGTAGCGACTGAGCTGCGTGGACCCTGGCTGCAGCCGTCAGTAGCTACAGCACGGAAAACATGCTGGGAACAAGTTTCACGGTCCAATGGCTTTGTGAGCCTTATCACACCAGTAGAGCCATCAACATAAAAGCTTCCAGAATTTTCCTCCTTCAAGGAGAAGGTCACTACACCATTGGGCCCCTCGTCGGGATCCCATGCTATCAGATGTAGGATCTCTGAACCTGCAG